AATAAATGTTGGAGAGGTTGTGGAGAGACTGGAACACTTATACACTGTTGGTGGGGGTGCAAAATGTTACAACCACTTTGGAAATCGATTTGGCGCTCCCTTAAAAAGCTAGAAATAGAAGTACCATACAATCCAGCAATCCTGCTCCTTGGAATATATCCTAGAGAAATAAGAGCCTTCATACGAATAGATATATGCACACTCATGTTCATTGCAGCACTGTTCATGATAGCAAAAAGATGGAAACAACCTAGGTGCCCATCAACAGATGAATGGATAAACAAATTATGGTATGTTCACACAACAGAATACTACACAATGATAAAGAACAATGTCGAATCCACAAAACATCTCATAACATGAATGAATCTGGAAGGCATTATGCTGAGTGAAATTAGTCAGTCACAAAAAGACAAATATTGTATGAGACAAGTATTATAAGAACTCAAGAAAAGGTTTAAATACAGAAGAAAACATTCTTTGATGGTTACGAGGGTGGAGAGGGAGGGAGAAGGGTATTCACTAACTAGAAAGTAGACAAGAATTATCTTAGGTGAAGGGAAGGACAGCACACAATACAGGGGAAGTCAGCACAACTGGACTAAACCAAAAGCTAAGAAGTTTCCTGAATACAACCAAACACTTCAAGGGACAGAGTAGCAGGGGTGGGGGTCTGAGGACCATGCTTTCAGGGGACATCTAAGTCAATTGGCATAACAAAGTTTATTAAGAAAATGTTCTGCATCCCACTTTGGTGAATGGCGTCTGGGGTCTTAAAAGCTAGCGAGTGGCCATCTGAGATGCATCAATTCGTCCCAATCCACATGGAGCAAAGGAGAATGAAGAACACCAAAGACAGGAGGAAAATATTAGCCCATGAGAGAAAAAGGGCCACATAAACTAGAGACTTCATTAGCCTGAGACCAGAAGAATTAGATGGTGCCCGACTACCACCAATGACCGCCCTGACAGAGAACACAACAGAGAGTCCCTGATGGAGCAGGAGAAAAGTAGGCTGCAGAACTCAAATTCACATAAAAAGACCAGACTTAATGGTCTGACTGAGACTAGAGGAACCCCAGAAGACATGGCCCCCAGTCTCTCTGTTAACCCAGAACTAAAACCATTCCAGAAGCCAACTCTTCAGACAAAGATTAGACTGTACTATGGGACATAAAATGATACTTGTGAAGAGTATGCTTCTTAGTTCAAGTAGATACACGAGACTAAATGGGCAGCTCCTATATGGAAGCAAGAAGAGAAGGCAGAAAGGGATAGGAGATGGTTGAATGGACACGGGAAATCTGCGGTGGAAAGGAGGAGTGTGCTGTCACATTATAGGGATAGCAACAAGGGTCACATAACAACGTGCGTATAAATTCTCGTATGAGAAATTAACTTGAGCTGTAAAGTTTCACCTAAAGCACAATAAAAAATAAATAAAAGAAAGAAAGAGCCATTTAATTTCTCTGGACTGCTGTAGAATATTCCACTGTATGATTGACTATACCACATTTTTATATCACACTTTATTTGTAGATGGACTTATGCAATATTTCCAATTTTTTACCACCATGAAACAAAGTAATAATAGTACATATTGCCTTATGTACATGCATGATGGTTTCTTCAAGTGTATATCTGGAAACAGAACTGCAGGATCATAAGATATGCCCATTTCTAATTTTACTAGATATTGCCAAATTGCTCCTCATTTATACTCAGACAAGCAGTATATGAGTGTCTCCATTTTCCCTCATTCTCACCAACATTTAATACTTTCAGACTTTTTTCTTTTGCAATTAAGTTGAGATAATCTAAACCGAGAAATTTAATCTTGCAATTAAATTGAGAAATTACATCTTATTATAATTTTAAGCTGCATGTCCCTGCATTCAAGTAATGTTGAACATCCTTTCATAGTCTACTGGCTATACGGGATTTCTTTTCTGTGAACTGTCTCTTTGAATCCCTTTTCCAATTGTGTTTTTAGTGTCTTTTTTTATTCAAAAATTTTTAATTTTTATATAATCAAATTTATCAGTCTGAAGAGAGTTTGTTGTTTTTTTTTAGAATAGAGAAATATTTCTCAAATCTGAAGAAAAACCTGAGTCTTCAGAATTGAGAGGACACTCAGAGCTAAGTAGGACGAATATGGTAAATGCTCACTTTAAGATAGATTGTAGTGAAATTGGATAATTTTCAAACATGATTGTTTGGGGGTTTTAGGTGTCCGGGGGCTTGTTGTTGTTTATGCTTGTTTTTGCAATGAGACCCAGAAAAAAGACTGAGCTGTCTGGGCGTGGGAGAAAACAGTGCGGAATGGGGAAGGCGGTCTGGGAGTGGGAGAAAACAGTGCAGAATGGGGAAGGTCTCGAGCAGAACTAGGTCACCGGTACTTCACGTTATTGTTGCTTTGTCTTGTTTAACACTATGAACTAGCAATTTAAGGTTTACAAAGCATTGCTCATGCATCAGGGTAAACCATATGAAACCACCATTTTTATAGCTTACAACACAGTTGAATGTTGGTCATTCCCCAAGGTTCTTCCTAACACGTGATTTCATTTCATTCTCTCAACCCTGTAAGATACACGTTATTATTATCTACAGACAAGTAGCCAGCCAGGCAGGAGGTTTGTCTGTCTATAGAGGTCATATGACTGCCAACTGGCAGAGCTTAGTCAGCCTGGCTCCATCTTCTGGCCGGATTCTTTGAGCAGCACTGTTCCTGTCTGAGAAATTGGAAAAAGAACGTCAAGTTTTCTCTTCTTCAGGAAGATAGTGCCTGTCATGGAGGTCATGAGACTGCTACGGAGGTTAGGCCCAAGATAGAGCTAGAGTCTTAGGCTGACTTCTCTAGAGAAGCAAAACCAGTGAAGCGTCTCTCTATACTTATTTAGAGAGAGAGATTTATATCAAGGGAATGGCTCACATAGTTGTAGCGGCTAGAAAGTCCAAGTCCATGGATCAGGTGTCAAGCTGGAGGCTTCTCTTGACTTACGTAGCTGCAGGGGTTGACAAACCCAAAATCAGCAGGTCAGACAGCAAGCTGCTAGCTCACAGGCTGCAGAGGCTGACAAATTCCAATCTAGTACTACAGGACTCACACATCCAGTACTACGGAGTTCACACATCTAGTCCTAAAGGGCTCATTCTTGGAGTAACCACCCACCCCCAACCCCACCGACACACGTCTTCCCTAAGTCTGAGGTGAGCGAGCAGGACCTCCCCTCACCCTCAAGATGGGACTCACAGCACAGCTTCCTTCAGGAAATTCTCCTCACAAAATCCTTCCGTCTCTTCTCTCTCTACATTTTTAGTCTCAGAGTGGACAAGAGGTTTCAAAAATCTTGGAACAGATTTTGGCATTTCCTTTAGAAAGTCTCTGCAAGGTGATTTGGCATCTCACTTTGGGTTTGCACATCTACTGTACATATTAGTGCCTGCTGGAAAATTTAGTTTTAAGACACTTTTAGATTTATATGCATTGACTTTTTTTATCTTTGTAAGTATGAATAATATTTTCCATTTTAAAGATGAAGAAAGCTCATCTCTCTGAGGGCTGGAGAACTAAGGCCAAGGTCACCACCAGTCAGTGATGGAGCTGGGATTCCAGCCAGGGCTGTCTGGCATCATCTGGGAGGTGTGGGTCATTGGGCTCGAGGCCAAGGGAGGAACTTGAGGACACAGAGGGAAGTGCTTCCCTCATTTAGGACCCAGGCCCCAGGCCACCACAAGAGGCTCTGGGCTACTCTAGAGCTGACATACGTCAGCTCCTGTGGCTTGGTCAAGCCCAACCAAGACATTCTGGGACCACCTTTCAGAGAGAGGGCTGGGAAGACACAGTTTGTGGGAGAGATCGATAATTCCAGTGATTTGGCAAGAGCCCCACCTGGCTGTGGCTTTGGGCTGGAAGGAAGGTGCCAGGACAGCTGACTCACCTGGTCTAGCATCCAAGCCAAACACTGTGAGGAAAGGGCTCAGCTCAGCCAAGACTTTAACTGCAGGAGGATGGGGAGTCTGTGCTGGGATCCCAGCCATGACTTTGCCTTGGTGTTTTCTTAGTGTGTTTGGGCCTCCTTTTCCATCACTTCTGTGAGCTTGGGAGCAGGCAGGCTGAGTCTTCAACAGGTGGTCCACAGCCACACAGGAATTTGTCAACAGGTGAGGAACTAACTTAGAGAGTCCTTACAGGAGTCGGGGAGGGCGTGGCACTGACCAGCTCTGAAGATGGTCTTGGTTTGGCATCCAAGGAGGTCCAGTCTTGTAGGCGTTTTCAAAAACCAGTTGCCATGGAGTTGAGTCAATTCCTATTCATGGTGACCCTGTGTGTTGCAGAGTAGAACCACACTCCATAGGATTTTCAAGGCTATGATCTTTCGGAAGCAGATTACTAGGCCTTTCTTTCAAGGCATCTCTGGGTGGGTTTGAACTGCCAACATTTTGGTTAGTAGTCAAGCACATTTGTGCCACCCAGGTCCCTGTTTGCAACACAGGGGATTGGGTAACAAACCATTGTCCCACAGGGGAGCGGCCGAGGAACACCACCAAGTGAGTACTTAATGATGTGGAAAGATTTTTACAATACATCACTAAGTGAAAGAAAGAAATTATGCAACTGTGTACAGGATGATCCTATCTTTATAAATGCAAGGTCTTTGATTGAGAAACTGCTTCTGGAAGACAGGGCTGAAAGCAAAAGGTGCAGCCTGGGTGTTTGACTGCATTAATTGCTGTGGGTCCTGCGATCACACCCCTTCAAAGCAGTTCCCTATTTATCCTTGGACTAATCCAAAGGTGTAGGCCCAGGAGCGAGTTCAGCACCTTCCACTTCCTGGGCCCAGAGCCACTCGTCTCCATCTGCCCTGCACCCTCTCTCAGGAATCTGTCAGCTGGTCTTCCATACCATCAAAGGACAAAGGGAGCCATCATAGCTTACACCCTTTCCCCAGACAACTGGGCTACTCACTGGGTGCCCATTCTGGTGAATGCTCTCCTTGGTGACTCCAGGAAACTCCTCTCTCATCTTCCCAACTTCTGATAGGGGCTACATCCAAGAGGTCAAAATGTGTTTTTGGCATTTCCCTCAATGAAGACCACCACTGGTCTGTCCGTTTGTCATTCTGTGGTGGCTTGTGTGTTGCTGTGATGCTGGAAGCTATGCCACCAGTATTTCAAATGCCAGCAGGGTTACTTACGGTAAACAGGTTTCAGCAGAGCTTCCAGACTAAGATGGACTAGAAAGAATGGGCTGACTATCTACTTCCAAAAATTAGCCAATGAAAACTCTATGGGTGGTTACAAGAGTAAAATAAATAAAATTTAAAAAAAAAAAAAAAACTCTATGGTTCACAACACAATATTATCTGATCTAGTGCTAGAAGATATGCCCCCTAGGTTGGAAGGCAGTTAAAATACACAGTGGCTGCAACAATGGACTCGAGCATACCAACGATGGTGAAGATGGCACAGGACGAGGCCAGGTTTCGTTCCGCTGTACATGGGGTCTCCATGAGTCAAAGCCAGCTTGACAGCAGCTAACAACAACTCAATGAAGAAAAGAAGTACATACAAACACAACATCTACTAGAACAACCTACCTTGACACAAAAGCACAAACTCACATATAAACATTGTAGGTTTTTTTTGTTTGTTTTTTATTGGTGGTTCAAGTCCATCCAGAAGCTCTTCAGAAGACCTGGTGATCTTTTTCAAAAAAAAACAGCCACTGGAAGCCCTGTGGATTACAGTTCTACTCCGACACACATGTGGTCACCATGAGTCAGAATCGACTTAACAGCAACTAGTTTGGTTTGGCGTTTTGGATGGGAGTAGGAACCTAAAATTAGGTCTTCCATGTGGATAATCAATATTCCAAGTATCACTTATTTTTAGAAGTAATTTCTTTCCCCCACTGAAATGAAATGTCAGCTGTTGTATATCCTTTCCAAATGTGCGTGGGTCTCTTCCTGGGCTCTCTCTTCTGCATCACCACCCCACTCTCAAATAACTGTTCTTTTACAACACCACTAAGTCTTGTCATCTTGTACAGTACGTCTTCTTTCCACTCCACCCTCTTGTGTTCTCCAAAATTCTCTAGCACTTGTTTTTCCATATGAGTTTTAATTTCAGCTTGTGAAGTTGCATTTTAAAAGTCAATGGGATTTTAACTGAAATTTAATTGCATTTGTAGATTATTTTGGGAGAAATTGGCATTTTGAGGATATTAAGTCTTCCCACCCATGAGAATATGTCTCCTGTATTCTTTCTACAGTGCATTGTAGTTTTTTCCATAAAATTTTTCATGTCTTCTGTTAGACTGATCACTAAATACGTCATACTTTATCTTGTCATTATAAATGAGATCTTTATTTTTCCTATTATATTCTCTGATTGTTTGTTATTGATAAGTAGGAAGACTAGTAACCTGTGTCCAGCAATATTGCTGAATTCACGTAATACTTCTAACAGCTTATCTGTAAATTCTTTTGAATTATCTATGCAATTGATAATTGTAGTCTGCCTAGAAAGAACACATGGATTTCTTCCGTTCCGATTCTTATATCTCTTCTCTCTTTCTCTTGTATTATTGCACAGGCTAGCCTCGCCAGTGTGGAAAAGATGTGATGAGAGCAGGCATCCTTGTCTTATTCCTGAGCTTGAAAGAAATGCTTCTGAAATCATGGCTTATGAGCATGTTTGCTGCTGATTATGGATAACTTCTATCAGGTTCAAAAAGTTTCCTTCTGTTCCCAGGTTGATAAGAAATTTTAACATGAGTGGATGTAAAATTTTATCAAATCCTTTTTCCGCATCTGTTAAGATGATCATGTATTTTCTCCTTTAATTTTTTTTTTTAAATATTTTATTGTACTTCAGGTGAAGGCTTACAGAACAAATAGTTTCTCATGAAACAGTAGTACACATGTT